TGAAGAAAAATTTAGCAAAAAAACATATTCAATGAAAATATATGTGTTAAATAATGTTTTTGTACAATTTTTTAAACGTGTGAAAGTACCGATTATAGAGATGGATGCGCACTACTGAGGAGTCCTATACGGAGACGAAACGGTTGTTCAGTGTTTCTAGGTTTTTCATGATCTTCAAGCTTTGATCGACTTATGAATTCAACTATTAAAGAATTCTAATAATTGACTGGAAATTATTTTAGCGCATAGAAAATTTATATGATTTATCAAGTTAAACTTTATGCTTATTTGTGGTAAATGAAAATTTCGTAGATTGGTTGAAGTTAGATATCAACACCGTTAGATGCCAGCTCAGTGGTCTTGAGGTTAATCGTTCACTTGTGATATTGATAGGTCCTGGGTTTGAATCGCTCGGGAGGGATCGTGGATGCATATTGCTGAGACTTCTCATACTAGAACGAAAGGGCCGTCAAGTACTTCCAGGTTTTCGATAGTGGTCAATCTTTAATTGACTCATGAACACAACTATAAAATGAAAAGTATCCTTAAAAAAAAATAAAATATATGATATTTAAGTGTGAAAATAAAATCAATGTTGTTCAAGGTTAAATTATACAAATAATCCTAGGTGAGTTGAAGCATTTACAACTTTCAATTGTAATACTGAACACTTCTATGTTTTATGTGAATTAATCGACTTTTGGATAGGGATTTTAATGAATTGTAAGTTTTGATACATTTTATTCTCTTACAATGAATATTGACTTGTAAACTGATCATAGATTTCAAGTAAATCATTCTTTTTTAAAAGGTGGTACGATTTGGATTTGTCTTGATAATAAATTACTTTATAAATTTGTTATAATTAGAAGGAAAAAAAAAAGTACATTTCGAGATTGAATTTCATAAATTTCTCCAAACGAACGTTAATGTTAAATACTAAGTAAAGATTTTCATTCTAAGACAAATGGTATACATTAAACTTCACATATTCTAAACATTATGTCATGTAAAAATGATTGTTCACATGTGATGTCTTATTTGTTTAGAGGTCAAACAAAACCTTTATAGGAATTATGTTTTATAAGGTTTTTATATGATATGATGAATGTTTTTGTTTTTTTTTTTTATTCTAAATTTAGTGCTACGCTACATGACGCATCCCGTGCTAATCATACCTAACTTGGTCATAGTGAAGGTTATTGGATAAAATAATAGTAATAATAGTTATCAAGAATGTTAGTTTGGCATTCAGTAACTTGTGTTACTTTCTTTCATAGTTATTTCAGTAACAGTTTTCACCTAGCGTTCTTATCCAATATAAAATGTCATGACTAAAAATTACCTCTTAAAAAATCTGTTATGTTACTGATTTAGAGGCGAGTTATAATTAATGTGACAAGATCACGAAAAGCAAATTATATCTTTTCAGTTAGTCGGGTATATTGTTTCTGACATTTCACAACAAGTTTTATTCTTTGTTTAAACTAATTATCCTTATAAGAAAAATGAAATCTGGTTTGATATGGTATAAAATAATGTAGTTACGTAAACTATTAAATATCTAGAAAGCCATGGTTAATAAAATCTGTGCATGGGGTTGACCAATGATGCCGTTATATAATTTATTATGTAACGGACAGTCACATGAGTCTTCCAATATACTTAAGATCATTTATACACAGAGATGTATCAGTGGTCTCGTTACTGTAAATGGATGCTATGGATAGTCGTGGTAATGAATGTCAAGTAATGTTCATTTGATTAAAATATAACTGATAATGATAGTTGTAACAAAAGCCAAGACTTTTGTCATGGATAATGTTATTTGTTTAAAATCTATTGTAAAAGTAACTCATTAAATAGCTAAAATCATTTTATATGCCTTTCACACGTGGAGGGATGTGGAAAAAGATTCTAAATCCGGTTATGGTACAATTATGTATGACAACTAGTTCGTGAAGAAAATTTCAAGATTATTCAAGAACTAGTATAGGAGTTGTGAAGATTATTAAGCTTTTGATTGAGATCTTGAACCAATTGATGCTAGACCACCACAATTGAAAACCTGGAAGCACTGGACGGCCGTTTCGTCCTATTGTGGGACTCCTCAGCAGTGGAGCTAATCCTTGTCGGGTAGAGACAGTTATCTACCTCAGTACAATGGAAGTTGGTCGCACAATTTCGTGGATTGGTTGATGTTAGAAACTATCACCATTGGATGCCGGCTCAGTGGTCCAGTTGGTTAAGCGTTCGCGCGCGAGACCGGAGGCCCTGGGTTCGAATCCCGCTCGCGGGATCGTGGATGCGCACTGCTGAGGAGTCTCACAATAGGACGAAACGGCCGTCCAATGCTTTCAGGTTTTCAATTGTGATGGTCTAACATCAATTGGTTCAAGATCTCTATTGAAGAACTACAAAGTAAGAAATAGTGATTGGGTTTTATTTAAACTGATTTGAGATGAATGGAAAATCTAGTTGGTTAGTTGCACTTGACATTCGCAAAATAGCATTGCGAAATGATATCAACATCATTCTTGATAATACGCATAAACAATTGAATTTTCAATTATATATGAGCAACATATTCAAGTGGATTTTAAAAGATTTATTTATTAGAAACTCTTAGAAGTTATAGGAAGGCAACAGACTTTCTAGAACAATCTCTGTGAAAAATAATAAGCATTAAAGTCAAGTTTTTTGTTGTTAATGAGCTCAAGTAAGTAGTTACTATTCAAAAAGATACTTGCATCTGCATTGTTTATAACAGTCAGACTTTTGTGCAACATACTGTGTTTCATAAACATTTGGTGTATACTCTGAAGAATGTACTAAAAATCTAGTCTATGTTCTGAAATACTTCTTCTCTAATACTCATATATAAATATACATTCTTTAAATTTATTAAAATAATGACTTACTCAGTGAAAGAATTGAAAGTAAATCCAACGTTTTGCCTGGCAATGTGGTCTAAGCTTTTTCAAGGAAATATAATCAAAATTATCGAATATGAATAGGTACATGGTTCTCTGGTTCACTGTAAATCTCAGTGAATGAATTTGAAGTAAAACTATCGATAATTTTGATGTTCGATCATATTTCCTTGAGAAAGTTTGAACTAGATTGTCAGGTGAAACGTTGGATTCATTTGCTGAAATTTTACAAATACATTCTTCCTCCTAAATGTCTCACATCAACTAGGCGCTTAAATACTGTCAAACCATTCGATGAAATTTAGAAGAAACTTCTTGTTTAAAGACTTGTTTTGTTTAATCAGGTTAATATTTTTATGAAAACTGGTTGTCTAGAAAAAAGTGAATGTATCTTGTTATTTGTAATAATTTGGATGATGCTGTCTTCTTTTAAAATTTGAAGTAGCTTTATATAACTGATGGGCATCTTCTGAAGATTGATTCGATGTAGCCATTATATCAAAATTTTCTATTGAACTGATGGAACGTGTCTAACAGCAGAATCCAGAGAGTGAGTTTCGTTGTACTTTAAACTTACCAAATGAGTGTGTGTGTTTGAATTCAAGTATTAATGTTTGGGCTGATGTTAAATTTTATCACCTTTAGTTTATAACACTTGATTGATTATACGTTGAGCTATTGAGTTCAAATAGACTCTAACTTGTATAATTTGTATAAGTTCTATCTAAAGTCTATAGACTGTCGATTTCTTCAATTTTATATAAACTGATACAAAAGTTCACATTTCAAACTAATTTCATAGTTGATATCATCAGTCAATTAAAGCTAGACCAGCATAGAAAACCTGGAAGCATTAAATGGCCGTTTCGTGCTATTGTGTGACTTTTCAACAATGCTCACCCAAGATATCACCTCACGAATTTCAAACCCAAGATCTATCAATATTGCGCGTGAATGAATAACCTCGAGAACACTGAATTGGCATCTAACAGTGTTAATATCTTACATCAACTAATCCACGAAATTGAACGACATATCCACATTCCATGGTGTTCTAGCTTCAGTTGACTTATGTTATGACTATATTATCCACAAAAATCTCTACTGATTATAATTTTATAGTCACTTTAAACAAAATCATTCTGTTAAGACAGAAAAAAAGTGATATCTATTTCAAAGTATTAATTTATTGTTTCCTTTATTTTACAAAATTAAAAGGTAAATTTTATTTATTGTTCATATAGTTTTTATTACATATTTCATATATTTCTTTAATTTTTTTTATTAACACTTAATGAATACATGTATATATCCCTTTTTAAACAGCCCACAATGAATCAAAATAATAAGTACGTAAATTAGAAAATCACTATAATTACCAAGTTCTTTTGTTACTAGTCTGAAAAATGATAGACAAATATGGTTTTTTTCTTTTTTCTTTTTTCTTTTCTCCTTTACAAAAAAAACTAGAGAATATACATTTAGAAAAAAAATCAATTAAGACAAGTAAAATTGTCTTCAATGTTCATGTTCTCTAATCAATGATCTTTTTATTCCTTTTTATCTATTGATAAAACTAATGAATCAAGTTGTAATTGATGTGAGGAACAAAAAGAAAAAAAACTAAGAATGAACAACCATGACAATTAATTTAAACATTAAATAAAGAATATTAATTATTCATTATCAATAATAATAATAATAATAATAATAATAATAATAATAATAATAATGATCTTTGTACTTTATCTCATATTGACAATTACTTTTCTTTTGTAAATAGGTTATTATTATTTTTTTTATTTTATTTTTTCTTTATTTTTTTATTTTTTTCAATTTTTTTCTTTCAATTTCACAATTAAAAACAAATAGATAGAAAGCGGGATATTTTTCTTTTATTGAAATATGATTGGTCATCTGTTGAAAAAGAAAAAAAATAGTTGTTTATTATTATTATTATTAGTATGATATCAAAAGAGAAAAAAGAATATTCCCTTAATTAACCAATCACAAAAATTTGACAAAACTATATAAATATGTCTAGTGTATAGTTAATGTCAATATCATGCATAACGTGATATCATAAGTCTATATAGATAGATATATTAACATAGAAGAATTATTCATAAAGTGTAGTGCATTTTTCTATTAATCTTTCTATCAAACACTTAATTGTTTCATTCATTTCTTTTATTCATCATTAAACTATTTGTTTATTATTTAATCATTATAAAAGAAATTCTTTTAAAAAAAAGAAAAGAAAAGAAAGCGAGAAAAAAGAGAGAAAAAACAAAAAAAACACAATCATTGTAAGAATATTTATACTGTATGTATATACATATATATATACAGAGTTTATGCATAAATATGAAACAAATCATTGAAATTATTACTTTTCTGATTTTATGTTCAATGGTTGAATATATACCAGTTGGTCAAAGTGTTTCATTAAAACAGGTTAGTGATTATATTTGTTATTATATAATAACTTTTAGCTTAATTTTATGTTTCATCATTTGCTTATTATTATTATTATTATTATCATAATCAAGTACTTATTAACTCACTGTCAATAGATGATTCTTGTGGTATTTTATATTTAATCTGTTGAATAGGTAGACGTTTTTACAAGATCTTATTTTCTAGTATTTACTCGAAAGAAAATGTGTTAGCGCACATTTCAAATGGCTACTTGTCAAGGTAAATACTTCATTTGTTTTTCCTATGTATGTAATTCGCACCATTTGAAACGTATCGAATTCCGTTTAGCTTCTAAAAGTTTACTCAGTGAACTAGGTTACACAACTCTTCATTATGTTACGATATGTTTGAAAAAAATGTTTAATTGTTCATAATTGTAGTTTAAGCAAAAGAAAAAAAAAACACAGGAAATCTGTTAATCACTGAATACTTAAGGTTGCAATTTCCAAAATTTCACTTGGAATAAATGTTTGGATAATTTTATTGCAACAATGTTCAAGAAAATGAAAGCTGAATTTATTGATGTTTGTTCCATTCGATTTCGTTACACGCGTATATATATATACGTATATATATATATACCTTAAAGAATATGATGATATGGGATCTACTGTTCGCTTTCCCCGTATATTCAATCTCAATTGATTATTTTATTGTTTTCTATGCTTTTAACATTTGCATATACTTAATGATAAAATATGTCAAGTACAATATAAATTTACACTTATGTAAAAGTATTGGGAATGAAGTATTTTCTAGAAAAAAAATGCCAACTATTTGTAAATAGTTAAATAAAAATTCTCTATTTTTCGTAAACAAATAAACAACATTTCTCTTTCTCTCTAAATTAATCAATCCTTTATAGAATTAGGTATAGAATACACATATATATATATTGATTTCTAATAGGATATTTTAAGGAAACTAAAATATTTCCGTTTATTTAAATGAAAAAGAGTAAAATTTGGAAAATTCATCGATATACATAACTATCTATTGAGATGTATTATTAAGAATGTCTGTGTTCAATTTATTTAAGATATAGAATTCTTAGCATAAAGTACTTCATCAAATTTACTCTCTCCTTATTTCTTCATCTATTCTGACAACTTTATTACTAGTTAAATGTTAACAGTTCAAGAATTGAAATCTGAACAATAATCATTCATGTCAATGTATATTCACACCCAACACAATGTCACTGATTTTACTATTTTCTTGTTGTATGTTTTATAGAGAAAGATTGTAAACGTTTCATAAACACACTTAAATACGTTATGTAAATAAGAGCCATAATGATATGTTAAAACAAACAAAAGATAAGTAACTTAATGAGATATGTTGATATCAATAACAGATAATCAATCAAGCTGGCATAATTATATTTTATGTCATTAATATTGAATTGATAAGTCAATGATTGAATCAAATCCATAATTTGAATTTCATCGGTAATTATTATTTATAGCATGAATAAATAGTTAAAGGTTTACAATATCTTATCATTTATATATGAAAATTTATGCATATCAGTAATTAGGTTTGAATAATTTTTTTCTGGTTAGCGTTTTTTTAGCGAATTAGTTTTCTACGGGATGGGGACGCTAACCCCATGCCCAACCCTCCTCCTTTATTGGGACTTGGGACCGGCAGTAGCCCCCGGAAGGACTCCAGGCAGAGTTATATAAATAATAGTTATTGTTTTATACATAATAGAATTTAAACAAGAAGTTTCCCGTTGAAAAGTAAACAAACAAAAAGAAAGATAAAGGTTACGTTACAATGTTTACTACTAAGTGATTAATATTATAGTTACAAGTAGAATAATAATGATAACTTTATACATCTACCATATGTTCAATATAAAGTTTTATTTTTTTAATTCAAATTATTTCAAATAACATATTTAATGAATAATTGAACAAAAGAATTATAAAACAAATTGAACCTTAAACAATATAGACTTTAGTAAACAATTCAAAAATAAAACAAGAAGAAAACAAAGAAATATCATTGATCATTGAAATTATTCTCTATTACGGTTTATTTACATATCTATAGGTCAATTGAAGCTAGACCACAATGGGAAACCTAGAAGCACTGGACGGCTGTTTCGTCCTAGTATGGAACTCCTCACTAGTACGCAACTACGATCCCGCCCGACACGAGATTCGAACACAGGTCTAGCGTCAGGCACTTAACCAACTAGACCACTAACTCGGCGTCCAACGGTGTTCATGTCTAACTTCAACTAATCCACGAAATTGCGCCACCGTACACCATTGTGTTCAATGAGTTGATATCTCACAACAGATCTTGTTGAACTCCACGGGTAACGGCTTCTCACTAGAACTCCAGGGGTATCTCTTGAAGTCAGTGACTAGTGAGCAGATGATTATTATCAGAAGGTGTTTTATGGGAACGAAGCGGCCGTCCAGTGCTTCCAGGTTTTCCATGATGGTTTAGCTTCAGTTGACTCATGATTTCAATCAGTGAAATTTCTAAAATCTCCACAAAACCCATTCTGATAGTATCTATAGGTGTTTAAAAAAGTTTTTTTTCAGTAAAATACAGACAAACAAACAATTTTATTTTATTCTATTAAATTACGTTTAACTATACACATGGAAATTATTAATTAAAAAGGGGGAAAATTGAAAAAGAATATTAAAACGTAGTTTAAATTGAATATATTCAAAGAGTCTTATTCAAGTTATGAAAATGAAAATGAAAATCTATTGAAGAGAATTTTAATTTAATAATATAAATTCCCAAGAAAATAAATGAAGTGAAAATCAGCATTTTGAATAATAAAATTAATCAAATTTAATTACGTTGTTCATATAAATATTCTCCCATAACCTTCATTGAAATTCTATCCTTATCAAACTGATACTATTCACTATACTTCATTACTTTAAGTTATACAAAAAAATAATACATTTAGAAAGGAAGACATTATATATATATATATATATATATATATATATATATATATATATATATATATAGAGAGAGAGAGAGAGAGAGAGAGAGAGGGTTTTATGTAGTGAATATGATATAGTTCAATGAAACTAAAGAATATGAGAGTTAATCTTCGTTTACTCATCAAATATTTAATGATTGGAACATATTACCTAAACAAATAGTTACAACTTCATTGATGAACACTTTCAATAGAAAATTAATCTTACCTTAGAAACTATATTCTATCAATATTAATATAAGTCAATAAATCTAATAGTCTCTATGCTAGTGATTGAATAAAGATTGAATAAGATTATTCACTTAATAATCATCATCATTATAATAATAATCATACAATTTTGTAAAACTATATTATTTATCTAATTCAATATTTTTATATTCATATCAATTTAGTGTTTTCAATATTGATATTATCTATATGACTTTAAAACAATTAATCCCTTTGATAAATTTCGATAATGCAATGAGAAGACGTAGTTTATCAGAATTATGTGATATATATGCGCAATACATTTCGAACAATCTGATCACACATATACTTGTTAAGAACATTTATATATGAAAAATTAAAAGGTCAACTAGACAGGTTAAGGGTAAGTCATAACAAAGGAAGAATATTAAAGTACACAAAAACAAATGTGATTACCACTCTGTATAATAAATCAGTATTACCAGGGTAGGTTAAGTGTAAGGACAAATTGTTTTTGAACACTTAAAGGGGGTTTCAATTTCCGTATAGCCAAGGCTTCAATAAACCTTTTAATTTTTCATATATAAATGTTCTTAACAAGTATATGTGTGATCAGATTGTTCGAAATGTATTGCGCAAATATATGACTTTAATTTTCTTTTTATTGTTGTTACTATTCAAAGAAAACATAAATGTCCAACAGTTTTACTTATCCATAAATTGTTCATTCAAAATTGTAATAGCTCACTCATTTTAATGATTTAATCAATAATAATTATCATTGATAATCTATTCACATGAATATTTATTAGGATTATTATTTTTGCTTGATCAAATTTATAAATAATTTATGATCGAATTTATAAGAAAAAAAAACAAAATACACATAGCAACATTGTAAATTATTATTGATTAATAATAGTGTAGTGATTTATTTCCCCCTCCCCCTAAGAATTGGTTTTGAACAATCAATTTTGTGTTAGAAATAATGAAAAAAGAAAATTGTCTCAAGTTTTCATTTCATTTAAATAGTTTGAGTTGATGAAAAATGTAGGTTACTGATTATGTCTTATTAGGAATTTGTCAGCTGTATTTATTAGTATTTCACTGTTAATGTTCATAATTGTACTGGAAGCTTCATCATTGAGTTACCAATTAGGCATTACACTATTCAGGGATATAAATTCTCTTCGTAATTGTTTACATTTTTTGAGCTGTTGATGTTGACCACTGTAATTGATCAATCTCATTTATTATGTGTATATGGTGATTAAATCGTCTCAATATTGGCATTTAATCAAATGTTTTCTATTATAGTGAAATAATGGCTATCATTGGAATACGAATCTTACCAAATCATGAAACAATAATACTTTATTTGAACATTCGTTATTCATAATCACTTGATCATTATTGAAACAGACGATATTAATAATGTTTGCAAATAAACTTCATATCCATCTCACAAGGTAGTGTCTATCCGAAGTCTGCTAATACGAAAAACACCAATAAAAATTAATATTTTATCCTAATTGTTAAAAATTGGATAATATTAGTCTTATATAACGGCATGGGTAAAATAGAACTGAAAAAATATTATTATTACTCTAACGGCCACTTGTGTTTTATACCAAATCGTAGCAGTTTAAAAATGGAAAATGGATCACGGTTGACATGAACAATGTACAACTGAGCTACCATACACTATAATCATTTTGTAGATATTTTTACAACTTCATTTATTCATGTTTTTGTAACGAATAACTACCAATATGCTATTTGTCTTTTATTTCTTTGAAATTTATATTAATAAACCTTAAAATATAGTCTGCTTTGCTTGATAAATCATATTTGTTTACATTCATATTGATGTACATGGTAAGTAATGGTAATCAGAGTCAGTCTGTAAACTTTGATTATATATATATGATAGAAATTATTACTGGTTGAAAAGAGCTTTGACCATCAAAAGTCTCATTTCTTACACAAGATTTAAATATCCATCAGCTATGTTAGTAAACACAACATCACTGTGAATTCATCGTTTTTGTGTGTGTGTTTTTGTATACGATTATTCTGGTTACGGATCTTAAGAAATGATTCTATTTATTTTCTCTTTTTTTTGTTTTGTTTTTAAATTTAGTTTGATCCAGATAATGAAGCACTTATTAATGAATATTTTTCATCAGAAAAAGTCGATGAAGCTGCTGAACATTGTTTACGTTTAATTGGTAGTAAAACAATTGTATCACATAATAATCATAATTATAATAATGATGAAAATGATTTAAGTTATACAACACGTAAATTAAAATGGAGACATTGTATTCTCAAAGAATTAGATCGTATTAATCGTGGTTTATTTTCATGGAATATTGGTTCATTATTTAATTATAATAAAGATATGAATACGATAGAATAAATTCAATAAATAGATTATCATTAAACAAATTGAAACATCAAAACAAAAAATGAAACCATAGAAACAAAAATACTTTAAAAGAGACTATATTCCTTTTTTCAACCTCAATTACAATAATAATAATAATCATAATAAATAAATGAAGATACTACTTGTAAAATTGTAATGAATTTTATACCTGATAAATATTATTCTATATAAAATCTTTTTTTGTTTTCTTTCGTTCTACTATTTACTCATACATAATAATAATAATAATAATAATAATGTTGATATAAACAAAATATTTACATTTTATTTTATACCCTCCTCCCCCACCGATTTTATTGATGATTAAGTATCTGAGTTAAATGTTTTGTCACCTTTTTTGTTTACTCAACAACAAAAAATGATCAAATAAATTATTGATTATAATTAGGAATAATAAATAGCTCTTTATGAAATATTTATATGACTAAAAGTTATGTAAAATTTTATAAATTGAAAAGTAGAAAAAAACAAATAGCTTAATATACTTCCCATTTAAACATTAAAATTAAATCACGAATTTCAGCGAAGGAATCTCTTTTCAACGAATTTATTATCAACCTGTACAATCGTATATATATGGAAGTTTTTATAAAAGTACTAATTCCATGAGGAAATGTGAACACAGTTAATAAAAAGGGTTATAATACTAGATTACGTAATATGAATAATAATAATAGATTTAGTGATTATAATATGATTAAAATGTTTTTTGATATAATAATTAAAGGTCATAGAGGTGTACAAAAGTAAAGTGATATGATGAGCATTTACGAATAAAACAATGAGAATATAAGATATAAGTAAAGGGGAGGATGCAGTAATAATAATAATAATAATAATAATAATAATAATAATTGGATAATCAAAATACTTAAGGCCAAGGTAACGATAACGATAAGACGTACTTCCTTTGTACGCATAGTTCTGGTTTAAGCTCCTGGATGGTAAGAGCTTCGACTATTTTTACGGGAACATATTCCGGCTTGGTTCTATAAGGGGGAAAGGAAAGCAGTTAGGAGTTCTATACTTGAACACCTAATCGACTGTAACCATTCCCCTGATCCAAGAAATGAATTTAAGGTTGTTTATATGATTCGTTCAAATCTACCCAGATTTCTTCGCATCCAACTTTTAAAAATAGCCGAAGCTCTTACCATCCAGGAGCTTAAACCAGAACTATGCGTACAAAAGAAGTACGTCTTATCGTTATCGTTACCTTGGCCTTAAGTATTTTGATTATCCAATTATTATTATTATTATTATTATTATTATTATTACTGCATTCTCCCCTTTACTTATGTCTTATATTCTCATTGTTTTATTCGTAAATGCTCATCATATCACTTTATTTTTGTACACCTCTATGACCTTTAATTATTATTATAACAAAAACATTTTAATCATCTTATTATAATCACTAAATCTATTGTTATTATTATTATTCATATTACGTAATCTAGTATTATAACCTTTTTATTAACTGTGTTCACATTTCCTCACGGAATTAGTACTTTTACAAAAACAAAATTTTCATATATATACGATTGTACAGGTTGATAATAAATTCGTTGAAAAGAGATCCCTTCGCTGAAATTCGTGTTTTAGTTTAATATAACAAGACTGAATTGATGAATCTTAAATGATTCATAATCTATTCAACTAGTTTTTACAAAGTTTACAGTTTACCATATTCTATTTGTTCACATGTAGTTATTCTTGTCATCACATTCAACTCATTCTACATTATTTATAAATCTAATAATTTCAATTCATTTATGTAAATAATCTTTCTATATTGTTTAATTTAGTTATGCAGTTATATAATTCATGGTGATAATAAATATTAAATTTTATGTAGATATTAACAAAAAAGTTCAAAAAAAAAACTAAAAGTCAAATAATTGGAACTCAGTAAAAAAGAAAGAATTAATGATTCAACTAGACAGATCTCGTGACGTTTCACCGAATCGCCTCTTTTCATACGTGTAATAATTGTTTATTTTGTCTATAATCATCACTTATACAAAAGAAATTATAAATGTTACATATCTATCTATCTATTTATCGGTAAATTACATTTATAAAAAGACTAGAAACCTATTCACTTACAAGTATATCCATTAATCAGATCTTTTTTTTTTAAAGGAAAATGTCTATATATATATATATATATATATATATATATAAACATATTTCTTCGGATAAAAATATTATAGAAAAGAAAAGAAAAATAATTATATAACAAAATGTTATATATTTAAGACACTTAATTATAGACATTTAGCATATGGTAGCAAAAATTTCTCCTTTTTAATATTAAGATGAACAACAACAAAAAAAGATTTATAATCATCATAATGAATTGATCTACCACACTGATGACTAAATAGAAGAAGAACACGTGCCATAGATGAAGTAGATTAAAAGAGAGAGAAAAAAAGAGAGAAAAAAAAGAGAGAAACAAACAAACAAACAAACAAGGAATTAAGTAATGAATAAATAGAAATAATAATTAATTTGTTTTAATGTATAAATTTAACATTTTTTTAGATGAATAGAAAATCATAGAATTACGGTTAATTATTTATTCTTATAGTAATTTACACTGATTTAAATAGAAATAGTAAAAGTTATTATTATTATTATTATTATCAGAAGGGGTTTTGTGAAGAGTTTTAGAAATTTCACTGGTTGAAATCATGAGTCGATAGAAGCTAGACCACCATGGAGAACCTGGAAGCACAGGACAGCCGTTTCGTCCCAGTATGGGACTCCTCACCAGTGCGCATCGACGATCTCGCCCTTCGCGAGATTCGAACACAGGACCTATCAGTCGCGCGCCAGGCATTTAACAAACTAAACCACTGAGTGGTGTTAATGTCTAACTTCAACTAATCCACGAAATCGCACCATCGTACACCATTGTTTTCAGTGAGTTGATATCTCACAACAGACCTTGTTGAACTCCACTGGTAACGGCTTCTCACTAGAACTCTAGGAGTATCTCTTGAAGTCAGTTACTAGTGAGCAGATGATTATTATCAGAAGGGGTTTTATGGAGATTTTAGAAATTTCACTGGAATATCATATAATTACAGTTAATTATTTATCCTTATATTAATTTGCACTAATTTAAATAGAAACAAAAAAACTATTATTATTATTATTTACATAAACGTGTAGTTTAATGTTTATGATGATAAATGATTTTTCGATTTTCTACATCATTTCGTGCATGAGAATAATAAGTCCTGGGTTCTAGTCTCACGAGACGGGATCATGGATGTGCATAGTTGAGTAGTCTTACAATAGGACGAAACGGCCATTCAATGCTTTCAGGTTTACTGTGATGGTCTAGCTTTAACTGACTCATGATCTCAACTACTGAAATGAATATGAATATTGTTTGACTTTATGACTAAATTGGTACACTATGAAATAGGATAATATTGGTAATTAAGATTGATTATCGTAATTTATAATTACAATTATGAGTAACATTCATTGTTTGCTTCTATCAAATTGATGAAAAAAGGATCCGTTGATTTATATGTATAATATTAACATTATTTTGGTGGAGTTTTGTTCTCTGACCTGGATGGTTTGGTCGTGGAGCTTTCATCGGTCTTCTGAACGACATCATCAGCACAAACTTCAGATAGAAGTGAAGTGTTTGAATTTCTCCATATGTGTTTCACAGCTTGTTCTGTGGAGAAATTCAAACACTTCACTTCTATCTGAAGTTTGTGCTGATGATGTCGTTCAGAAGAACGATGAAAGCTCCACGACCAAACCATCCAGTTCAGAGAACAAAACTCCACCAAAATCATCCACCTGAGCTACAAATCTTATAAAAAATAACTTCACTTGGTATTGTTAACTTGAATCTTCTCTTTGATATTTACGACTGTAATGGACTAGTCCTCCTTGACATATGTGCATTCCGTGTGGATTGCCTCGATATCTTCTTAATTCACAAACGTTATAGGCAAAGATGGTTTGTGACTAGCAGTGAAATCCAGGAATTTATTTTAAATGTTAGTGAAAAATTCCTATATTCTTGAAATAATACAGATTATTGAATGAGTTATCTTTACAGATAGAAACAACATATATTATGAAGATGGTTTACTTGAAAAACTGATTTCAGTTACACAATAAATGAACAAAACTGATCACTAAATCTCGTAATTGTTATAGTTTTTGTACGTACACAATCAATTGATCAGGTTTTCAATAGGATTCAAACTTTTCAATCATATAGTGAATTTTTAATTTAGTATAAAATAGTTCATATCTTATACTTCAGTCAGTTTCCAACACCACGTGAATGATAAATAAAGATGAAACTTAGATATTAAGGCCTCTTTTGACCATGTGCCAATGTCTGTTTGATATTAGTTTAAGAACTATACATATTCTATACTTTTAGCATGTAGAATTCGTCAATTCTTCTTGTGTGTACCCTATTGGTAATATGACATGAGATACTGAAAAAAGTTATTATAAAAATTGCTTGAAAAACCGATATTATTTTAAAAAGTAACTTTTGAATTTTAGCTCTTACATAATGGTTTTATTCATTTACATATAAACGTCTTTTATTTATATGCTGAAAAATGTGTTATGTATAGAAACTCAAAAAACAAACGGTTATTACTATTATTTACTTACTTACTTACGCCTGTTACTCCTAATGGAGCATAGGCCGCCGACCAGCATTCTACAACCCATTCTGTCCTGGGCCTTCTTTTCTAGCTCCATCCAATTCTTGTTCATTTTTCTCATGTCTATCTCCATTTTCCGGCGTAATGTGTTCTTTGGTCTTCCTCTTTTCCTTTGGCCTGCAGGATTCTATGTGAGGGCTTGTCTTGTGACGCAGTTGTGTGCTTTCCTCAATGTGTGTCCTATCCAATTCCAGCGCTTCTTCCTGATTTCTTCCTCCGCTGGGATCTGGTTTGTTCTCTCCCACAGTACGTTGTTGCAGATAGTGTCCGGCCAACGGATCTGAAGTATTTTGCGTAGACAACTGTTAATAAACACCTGTATCTTCTGGATGATGGCTTTCGTAGTTCTCCAGGTTTTCACCTCATACAGTAAAATTGTCTTGACATTTGTATTAAAAATCCTGACCTTGGTGTTGGTTGACAGTT